ATGCTGACTCTGTAAACCGCTTAGAGAGGGCTGAAAGCCCTAGGAAGCGGTATATAAGTCTAACTGCCATTGCTATTTTCAGTGTATCTAACTTCAATTGTATGACAGGTATTGTATGAGGTGGTATATAAAATGCTTTTGGGCATTTTATTTATTGTGAGCATCCCAAAAGAAGAATGATTCATCTGTTTGTGGTCACAGTTCTGGATCAAAGACTTTCTGAGGGACCGGCCACAAACAGTGAGGGTCGGGTCTCAGGCGGTGGCTCAGTGGCTAAGATGCTGAGGTTGTCGATCAGAAGGTCAGCAGTTTGATGGTTCAAATCCCTAGCACCGCATAACGAAGTGAGCTGTTACTTGTCCCAGCATTGACAGCCGCACAAACAGGCTGAAGAACAGTTTTTATCCGGGTTATCAGCTAGTACTTAGATGTAAATCTAATAGCTAGAATAAGGACAGAGTTAAGGGAGAAAACAGTAGACTCGTTCTTTTCCTCCCCCTTATGATATATTTACATAATTTTACAATAACAACCAGCAAACTATACATTAACGCTTATAATTAGCAAATGCATGCTTGATTTTCATTGTCAAACAGTGGATGTGGTTAGGATATTATTTATTTATCAAATTTATATAGGCGTCCATCTCATCAAAAATTATTCTGGATGGTGTAATGTAACAAGAGGAAGAGAGAATCATTACGCTTGTCACAATTCCAATCCAAATTCCAATCCCTCCTATAACTACCAATTGTCCCATGAGGATAGCTGCCACTAGTAAAAAATGAGAGCTGTTATCTGATGATGTTTGGAATGTCTAAATAGCAAAACAGCAATATAGGAGGTATTTTAATCATCACTGTATTCCGTGAAGAGGAGTTGCAGGAGGGGAAGAGTACATGCACTCATCTCTGTCTTAAAGCATGACCCTCATGCTACCTGGATGGCTCTAGAAATTGGCTTCGCTCAAACTGAAGCCATTTTGAAACCTTCATGCACTGATTCTTTCGGTCCCACTTTTGTGAGAAAACGAGGCAGGCTCTCAAGCCTTTCCATCCGACTGCAGCCACACAACCCATTGTGCCCTGCACTTCTAAAAGGGAAGAGGTTCCAAACAGCCTTCAACACAATCTTCCGAGCTTTTNTTAAGCTTGTCTCGGCATTCGTTACTGGACGGAGGAGGGGGTCAGAATAGTACCTTATCTGAATTAGATCCTAAGCTATGGTTGTGAGACTGAACAGAGCATTGCATATTCTCTTCCATTGCTGATACCGCATCTCTTATCTAATACTGTGCTTATCCCATTCCCCTACCCTTGCAACGTTGCGAGCATGTTGTGCTTCAGTATTCACGCTTTCCAGTTCTTGGAGCTCATGGCGCAGACGTAAAATTTCCGCTTCCAGGGCATCCAGCTTGTTCTGAAAGTGCAAGCTTTCCTCCTGGAAAGGGGATGAAAATTTCAGAGAGAATTATAGAACAATCAACTTTAATGTTCCCACATTTTCCACCATGGGCCATAAAATTACAGGTGTTGTAAATACAACAAAATTATTGAGCACATAAATTCCTAAACTGTCCATAATCCAGATATTAACAGGAGCTCAGAGATTAGGTACCTCCTCCTCAGGAAACGCCTGAGCAAAAGATGTTATGTTGTTTTTTGATCCCTGCAAATTGAATAGCACTACACTAGTAGTGGGTAAAACGTATCTTCTTTCTTTCAAGATTGTGGGGAATGCCTAGAGTTGTGTATCCTGTTTTGAAATCATCTATTTTGATGAAGGGCATCATACCTGCATATGTGCTTTTAGCTTTTTATACATGTTGGTGATGCGTACAGCCTCCTCAGTCTTGAACCGGGCCTTTTCCAAACGGTTCTCCAGTGTTCGCAGAGTCTAGATGCAAAGAGGAGCAAATTAAGGCAGCAGCTGAGCCAAGGATATTGAAAAGCCTCTAAAACTCCATCCAATTCATTTTGGTCCCTGTGGTAAAGTGCTATATAGAGTTGCTGAAAGGTGAGTAATTGCTTTACAGTAGCTCAATGCCCCAAAGAGATCAATTTTCATCTCAGTGTTTTTCATATTGTGGAACTTAACAATTTAAAAACAACACATCACGTCTGGAGTCACTCAACTCCATATAGCCACAACACTAATAGTCTGGTCCAATGTTTGGGGAAAGAAACAGATCTCCAGTATCTTACAAAAGATTAGCAGGATCAGGGACTCAAGGGATATTTTGTGCCATAGGGGAGTGCTGTAACAGACAAGGGGAGCTTCCTTCCTTCCTTCTATTAGGCCTCATGGTTTAACAGAAGGGCTGCAAAATCAGACCTCTTGAGATGAAAAACAAATTACTGGAGACATGTGGTCCTGTCCCTTTATATAGAGTAATCAGCAGATTGAGTTGCACTCGAAAGCCCACTGAGAACTAGCGAAGCTCACAAAGTAGATGCATTGCACGGGTATACCAAAGTGCACTCAAAACCACCCTTGCTGCTCTTCAAGTGGAGAGAGATAATAAGACATGAGTAACAGTGAGCAAGGCCTCCTAGTGCCAGGTATGCCTCATTCAGTAACCAAGGAAGAAACCTCTCAACTCCATTGTTTAGGAATTAAAAGTACTTTTACTGGTTATGAATAGATAGCAGCGAAGTAAAGCAAGGTCTGAGTCAGAAACAGCGTGAAACCATACATGTCAAACATTTGCCCAGCCCCCTCCCTCCAACAACCCCCACCCCATTGCCCAATCTGCAACTCCCTTAGGGGGTCATGTGGGTTGCATCTCCAAAAAGCATCATCAGGTTGGTAGGCAGGACGGTTGGCCTTGACCAGGTCCACACATCGGCCCTCAGCATGCGCAGAAGAGGGTGAGAACAAAACTCCCCTTTGGACTATCACTCCTGTACCATTTATTCCCATCCCAAATACTGTGCCCCAGCCTCCCCGTTTGCCATGGCAGCCAAAAGCCAGTAAGTGAAGCAGAGGCTGACATCTAGTCTAGGATTGGAATGTCCACATTAATCGCACTATTACTGAAGAAAAACTTTCCAATATTTTCCTGAGCTTGAGGGAATTTACAAGCAAAAGAAATGGAATAGCTTGCCTCCTGGGGATGTGGGTATTCCATCACTGGAGGTTTTCAAAAACAGTCTAACAACCATTTGACTGGGCTAGTATAAGACTCCTGCCTTGAGCAGGGGGTTTCGACTAGAAGACCTTCAAGATCCCCTCCAGGCTATGATTCTGAGTCTGTAGTGTTGCTTTCTTGTTAAGAATGCATTGTCCTGTTCTTCAAATAGTGTGGACTGTGATTTGGTAAAAGTCCAGGACTTCTTATTCGACACTTGGCATCTGCTTATTCTTTTGGTGGCGCAGTGGTTAGGGTGCAGTACTGAAGGCCACTTCAGCTGACTG